CCCCCAGGGCAAGGACCCGGTGGCATTCCTGGCGGCCAACCCGGGAGCGCTGATCGACATGGAAGCAGCGGGGATGCCCTCCACGTTGGAGTTCAATTGAAATGCTGCGTGCGCTAGGCCGATGGTGTTGTTTCGAAAGTGCCAGTTTCTGCTTGGCTCCCCCATGTTCGCCTCTGAGCATTGCCTGTTTGTGCTTGTATTGCAGTAGGCGTTCACCCCGCTGGCTGGCGGCAACGCTGTGCAATCATGTGATTGACTGACGATCAACAATAGAGGATTTTGCTTATTACACAAGCAAAACCTGGATACGTGTGCAGCCATCTTGGAGCACATGGAGTGGCAAACACACAAGGCGCAATGCCATATGAGCGCTGGACAAACAAAGGCAATGCGTGAAGGCGGGACGAGCTTTGGCAGATGGCCGTTATTGACAGGGCAGTAAAAGGCAAGGACAGGGCTTGAGGACCAGGGTCCAGAAAGGTACCGATGAAAGGCAGCAAAGTCACACCAAGAAAGGGTTGGCAAGCAGGTAAAATACGCTCCGCCTCAACACATTGGTGGTGAATGGGTGGGGGTTCTCTAGCGTGGTCAGCCGAGCCGCGCAGCAAACAGCGGGCTGGCATCAAGAAAGGGCGCGGTCAAACAATGGGACCGGCGGTGAGTGAGGAAAGCTGCGGTTTGGATGATTTGGGCGCTACTGTACGCACGGGCGCGCGCAAGGAATCATGTGCACTTGTCGGCCTGGTACCCGCTGTGGGTGCCGTCGGGGCAGCGCTTGCACTTGGTGCTCCCCAGCTGGTCGGCGTACGTGCCGGGCAGGCACCACAGGCAGCGGGTCGAGGCGTGCCAGTAGGCGTAGTTGCCAGTGGCGCAGGGGCGGCACTCCTGGAGCTGCATGTCCGCAAACGTGCCTGAGAGTGGGGAATGGGAGCAGCGGCGCGGTCAACAACTGGTTCCAGCTCTCTGAGTGCAAGATGCTGGAATTTTACGGCTGGCTCGGCTGGTTGATGGCCCAGAAACTTTCGATTGGGTGCAACCCGTGCATCAGGCAGGCATCGACCTCGCCCGTCCCACTCACCAGGGGGGCAGATCTTGCAGGTGTCGTCGCCGATGGCGCGTACGTGTCCCTGGGCACAGCGGCGGCACAGCGCGCCATCCACATAGTAGCCGGCGGGGCACTTGCCGTCCTGGGGCTCCACCGTCCAGACAAGAGGAAGCTGCTTCAAGACGGAGTCGACGGTGCCCCAGTTGGATGCGGCTGGGTTGGCGACGGCGTCGGCTACAGCCTGGGCCGTGTCGCGGGCGGCAGTGGCAAGGACATCGTCAACAACGCCCACGGCCTGGGTGACTGCGTCAACGACAGCACCGACGGGGTTGAGGTTCAAGATGTCTTGGACAACTGCAGGGACTTCGATTTTGATCTCGTTGGCCGCGCCAGCGGGCGCGTCGTCGTCGACCATGGGCTCGGCGGTCTCTGTGCCGGTGGCCTCGGCGTCATCAGAGGCGGCCTCCTTGGCGGGCTCGGCGGTGGAGGGCTCGGCGGTGGAGGGCTCGGCAGTTGAGGGCTCGGCATTTGTGACCGACACTGGCTGCGCCTCGGGGGTCTCCTCGCCGTCAGAGGTGCGTTTGACCATGTCAGCCGTCGGCACAGCGTCGACGGCGTCAGTGGGTGTGTCCTCGGGCTGGGGCGTGGCGTCCACAGCGGAAGTCGTCACAGGGACTTTCTGTCCCTCTGGGGCTGTGTCGACGGCGGCGGCCGTGACCTCGGGCACAGCTTCCACGGCAGAAGTGGTCATGTAGACTTTCTCGTCAACTGGAGTGGTCTCGCCGTTGGCGGTGGCGGCGTCGGGCTCGGCCGCGGTCTCTCCGGCAGATGTGGGCGACGCGACCTTCTCCTCAAGCGCGGGCGTGTCTGTGCCGTCCTCCTCGGCGGCAGGCGCCGAGAAGGCGACTGCCGCCTCACCAGACTCGAGGACCACGGCTTCATTGGTGTCGTCTGGGATGCAGTGATGCGAGCAGCTTTCGCCGCCGCACGAAACGGCCTCACAGGTGTAGCCGGCCTCACAAACGGACGCGTCGGCGCAGGGGTCGACGCCACAGTCTGTTCTGGATACCCATGTGCAGTCGGCTTTGTCGTCCTGGGCCTGCAGAAGACAGAATTGAGGAGTTGATAAATGACACAGGTACAGAAACTGGTGCACATACGACGTGGGCGCTGTCATGAGCAGGGCGGCCCCAGAATGTTTGACTGCACGACCGCGCCAAAGTGGAAGCGGCGCACTGCCGCTTGCTTTGGCCAGACAGCGGCCTCAGACAGGACCAATTTCTGCCTTCTTCATGCCCATCACCGCTGCAAGGCCAGCGGTGGGCGCCTCACACAGAGCCCGGGTGATCTACCAAGCACCCAGACCACTTCCCCCGTGCCAATTATCCCTCAAAAACAACTCACCAGGCTTGCGTTGCAGCTGGCGAGGGCTAGCATGCCCACAAGCACCCACGCAATCGAGGTTGGCGCCATCTGGAAATAAGTGCGGGACTGCTGCTCGCTGTAGACTGAAGCTATAAATGGTGCTATATGGGAAAATTAAAGTATCTTGAATGCTTCATGGTAGACACAGACTTGATTTATTTCCAGGGGCCACCGGCCCTGCACCTGCTCGCGGAGCTGCTTGCGCGAAGCTGTGCACCGGCTATGACTGCATCTCATGACTTTGATGGTCAACTTTGAGCGCTGAGTGAGCCCTGCTTACACGCTAAGGATGACGCGCGCCTGGGCGCAGCAAGCCACCCTTGGTTGCCGGCCACTACTGGCACTGATGCACTCATCAGCTGCTGACCAGGCTCCGCAGCTGCTCTTGCAAGCCCCGTAGCTCGCCGCCACCAGTGCATGCCCACTCCACTAGCGCCGGCGCCTGTGCGCGTGCCTTGGCCAGGCTTAGCTGCATGACGTCTAGGGTCTCGCCGCCCTTCGCATTGACCAGCCGCACGGCGCCGTTTGACCAACCAGATCCGGACAAAACCAGGTTCCGCAGCCGCAGCAGCCGCGGCTCTGCAGCCGTGCCCCCGCCGCCGGCCACCGCACGCGTCGCGAGGGGCAGAGGGCCGCTCGCGCGCCGTGACGGGCCGGCGGCCAATCCCTTGCCCGGCGGGGCCGCCGGCGGTGCGGCAGCCACAGGCCCCAAAAGCGATGAGTCGTCAGAGGGGTCTACAAAATCAACCAGGCCTTGCGGCCCTGTGAGCTCCACCGCCAAAAGGCGAGGCGCCGCCTCTGGTGCCGCCACCTGCACCGCAGCCGCCGCCTCACCATTGGGCAGCTGCTCACCGCCGCTGCCGCCGCCGCCGCCGCTGCTGATGCCTGGCGCGGTCTCATCCGCAAGGAAAAGCCACTGTCTGACGTTGCCGCGCGTATCTGCAACGTGTTGAGTTTGGGGGTGTGCGCGTGTTGTGAGATCACCGAACACCAAACGCCTCAGTGCTGCTGACCTGGTGGGCATTGGTGAAGCACAGGAGCCGAGGCCAGGCCACACCAAAGCACTCACCTGCCTCCTGCAGCGGCGCAGCCCACAGCAGCAGGCCGACGAAGTCGAACTCGCCGCGGGCGACGCGGGCAGCCGCCTCCAGGCAGGAGCTGGACAGGTCCTGCAGTGTCAGCACGCGCCGGGGCTCGTAGCGCAGCAGGTAGCCGGCCGCCGCGGCGTCAGGGGCACGACACAGCAGCTCCCACCTGGCAAAGCGTTGGGATTGAGTGCCTCGGCGCAGCATGACACATCAGGCTGCACGCGCATGCATACAAGGGCATGCATGCATCGTCCATGCATGCATGCATGCATGCATCATGCATGCATGCATGCGCGATTTACCGTCAACTCATCATGGGTCAAGGCCACCAGCCCATTGAAAACCCCGCCCTTCACGCACCCGCTGCCCACTCCTCACCGCGTCAGCTTCGTCATGTCGAGCTGCAGCATGCGGCCCAGGCCCAGGTCAACAGACCGCGACGCCCGCAGCCCCGTAACGCGCAGCACGTCCCCCTCGCGAAGGCTCCCCTCCTCCTCCTCAGAGACCCTCCAGAGCCGCAGGATCGCGTCCCCAAGGCCCGCCGCGCCGCCAGGCCGCCGCTGGTCAATCGTGGACGGCACGACGCCAGACAGCCGCATGCGCAGCACCGGCGACGGCCGCTCGGGCGCAGCGTCGGGGTCGCCGCAGGCAGCGGCGCCGCCCGTCGCGAGCGCCACACGCCGCTCCACCTCGCGCACCATGCACGCCTGGCGCTCCGCCGCCAAGGCCTCCAGCGCTGCCGTGCCGCAGCCGCCTTCGATGGCGGAGGGCACCGCCTCGCCGCCGGCGCCCAGCAGCGCGGCGGCGTACTGCTTCTGGGCGGGCGTCGCGGCGCGCTGCGCTTTCCACTGCCGCGCCAGCTGAAGCTCCTGCTGCTGCACCGCCTTGGTGGCCTCCTCCAGCGCCTGAGTGTTTGCAGCGGGTGGGTGAAGCGCAGGGTCAAGGGATTAGTGCAGACATCCTCAAGTTTACGGCCAGCCCTCCACGGACTTCGTTGTTCACACACACTGTGCTGCAAGCCTGCCCTATGGGTTTGTGGAAGCAGAGCCAGCTGCTGCCCCCGCCCACCTTGGCTGCCCGCCGCTCCGCTGCGCCCTCGTCTCGCGCCATGGCGCGCCGCGTGAGGTAGGTGGGGCGGCCGCCCTCCACCTCCGCGCGGCGGCAGAAGACGGTCGGGTAGCGGCGCTGCACAACGACAAGAGTGCTGGGGGTCACGCCTCCACCTTCATGGATCTTTGAGGCGTAGGGGTGGTAGGGGTGATTGAGGAGGGGGTTGGAGGGGAGGAACTGGGGGAGGGGGAAGGGTTGCCGGGCCAGGGTCGAATGAGGTGCAGGCGAGGAGAGGGATGGGGATCTTTCCGGGCCCGCATGCCAGGATACAGCGGGATGCGCCTTTGCGGAAGGCACATGATGCGTTGCGACAGCCACTCCAAACGGGCACAGCAGCAGCCACGTCGCCACGCCTCGCTTGCGGTGCTCGCACCTGCTGCAGGGGCCTGAGTGTGTAGGGCACCGCTGCCAGGCCGAGCCGCTCGTCCCACGCTGCCGGAGAGCAGCCGTTGTAGTTGATGCGCAGCAGCGCCGACCGCGCCGCCTCAAGGGGCTCGTCGGGGCGGCCAGAGACGAGCTCGGCGCAGCAGACGCGCAGCTTGCAGCCGACCTGGGGGCGGGGGCCCGGTGCAGTGCAAGCCAAGCCCGAGGGGTGATTGAGCAGAGTTACAGGAGCCTGCCGCAGCGGTCGTGCTTGTGTTCACTGTGACCCCTTACCGAGATCGCAGCCCTTTGAGAGCCCGTGCAAAACCCCTGCTCACCCCCCACCACGACGGCTCCCAAGACGCACCTGCAGCCGCCCGCTGAGCAGCAGCTGTGCCATGGGCTCGTCCACGCACGCGTTGACGTGATACCACCCATCAGACAGCTGAATCCCAAGGACTTGCGCCGCGCCCGCCCCCTGCTGCTCCCGATCCCGCTGCTGCCCGCCGCCGCCCTCGGCCGGCCGCTCCTGCCCCTGCTGCTGCTGCCCCTCCTGCTGCTGCTGCCGCTGTTTCCGCTGCGGCTGCTCGCCGTCGGCTGCGCCGCGTCCGCGGCCCTCTGCGTTGGTGCGGACGTCCGACACCACGAGCACCATGGGCATGCCCGCCCCGAGGTCGTGCTGCAGGACGCGCTTCAGGACAGAGGGGACGCCGCAGGTGACCTCGGTGTGGTACCTGCCAGGTCAGCGATTTGAGAACTTTGAGGTTCGCAGCTACTAGAAATGAGCTACGCCGTGTGCAAGAGCTCGGGGAGCGGGGCGAGTCGGGGGGCTGGTTTCACCTGCCGTGTGAAGGTTTGAGTTGCCGACAAAGGCAAGGAGTACGACATTCTGGCTGGATTGGCTAGCAGCAGGAACGACGTGCTTCACACGCGCACTACGCACCCAAAATGCGCACCTGCGCTGCAGCTGGTCCATCACGTTGTCCACCGTCAGGCACTGGGCGCCGCAGCTTCCAAGAAGCTTTCTGTCGTACGCCGCCAGCTTCCACACCACCCATCTGAAGTGGTTGGCCACCCATGCTGCTGTCGCCTGCTTGGTGTCCGCCCCCCAAGCCAGGAGGCACGCGCGTGTGGCGGCTGCGCCGAACCCGGCACCATCGGGGGCGGCCTGCATGTGCAACCTGCGAGCAGGGCGGGAACCACGGGGGAGGGGGAAAAGATGTGACGGCCCACCCAGGGCTGTCGCAAGCACCGCATGCGCAGGTCAAGTGGTTTGCTTGCCATAAACCATGCCGTGCTCTAGGCGTAGGGCCGTTGGCAGGCACAAGCGAGCCAAGCAAATCACCCAGATGCCCACCTGGATGCTCACCTAAACTGCTCGGGCACCTCGGACGCATAGAACTCAAAGGCTGCGGCTGTCTGCGGCGTCATTGCCTCGGCCCTGGACGCCAGCTCCTCCTCTGAGAGGCCCGCCACCGCCGCAGCTGCCGCCGCCACTGCCAAAGCCTCTGCGCCGACCTTGAGGGAATCACCAGCAGCAGCAGCAGCAGCAGCAGCAGCAGCAGCAGCAGCAGCAGCAGCAGCAGCAGAGTTTTCACCAGCAGCAGCAGGTTCCCGCGCTACTGACGAGCCTGCCGCGGCCGCCCCCGTTGACTGCTGATTGCTGAAGTACTGGGCAAGACTGATGGTCCCCCTGTTTCGCTCGTGTTGCCCTGCTTCCCCCTTGCGCCGCTTGCCACCGCCGCTTGCGCTGTCGCCCGCTGCAGTGGAGCCACAGCCACCAGGTGCTGGCGCGTTTGTCGCTGCGGCAGCCGGTGCCGAGGTTTGGTCGGGCCGCACGTAGCCGGCGCCTGCGGGCGACTTGAAGGCGCGCTTGGCGCCGCGGCCGTAAGCCGCGGCGCGGCCGCGCGAGCTCTGGTCGCCCCGCACGGCGCGCGGC